GTCACTTTCATCTCCATCATTCTATAGAAGCAGCTCTTGTAGAGCTTCCTGGTAACAGCAATTTCCACATAGTTAACTCTAGTGGTTGTTTCTTATAGTTTTTCATTAGCGACATCAACACAGTTGATGGCTTCCTCTTCCTGAAGATACTTTCTTCCCTTTGCCTCCCAATAATACCACATTCTTCTGGTCTTTCTCCTCCTTCACTGGTTGTTCCTTCTCAGGCTTGTTTGCGGAATCCTTCTCTTTTCCCCTTTTCCATTGGGCTCATTTACCAGGGTTCATTTCTTTGTTCGTATCTCTTTCTTATTCTCTTGGTGACTTCATCTATGCTCATGGTTTTAGATGCCATCTAAATGAAGACAATCCCCAAATTTTATCTCCAACCCAGATTTCTTCCCTTCACTTCTGACTCACATATCTGCCTATTCAACATCTCCACTTGGATATTGACTCTGTTAAACTTAAAATTTGCAAAACTGAGCTCAAATTCTTCAAATTTTTTAAATCTGCTCTATTATTTTCTCATTTAAGTAAATAGCATTTCTATCCTTATAGCAGTTGATGATTTCTAACTCTGACACCACTGCACCTGATTATAGAGTAGGGAGCAATTTCTTGACTATTCAGATTAAAGTTTCATTTGTCATCTGTTCAATATAAGGACAAAACAGAGAATTATATCTGTGAAGCTTTATGTGATTTGTACAGTTAAAAATCGTGGAAGGCAACTGTTGTGGGGAGAAGCTTCATCTGTGAACATCATGCCCCATAACAATCCTGGAAGGAATTCTGAAGGGCCAGGCTTGGAGCCTCACTGAGTCCGGAGCGCTGGAGCTTGGGTGTTGGCGAGAAAGGCAGAAGAGAGACTGTGGACTGTGTGAGGAGAGGGCACCTCCTGAGGGGCTTAGGGAAAGAGATATAATTTTGAAAGTGAGCAAATTCACATTAAGAAGCCAGGGATCACAGGGATATGTCCTTCCTAGGTAGATAATAAACTCCTGAAGAAACAGGATAATGAAGAATAGAAAGAGGAAAATATGGTTTTCAAGGTAGTATCCGTGGGAATAGCTCACCTTGAAAGGAAGTGCAATAGTCTCAGTCCACACTAGTCTTCATTCTACCAAACTACATATGATCCCCAACTAGGTAAAAATATGCAAGGAAAAATATTTGGAAGTATACCAAATAATTAAATATCCCTTTCTCTAATCTAGCATTAGGGGTGATTAATGTTTTTTTTTTTTTTTTTAACTCCTTGTAGTCATTTCCATATTTTACAATAAGCATATGTTATTTTCATAATAAAAATTTCATTTAATGATACTTCAAAAGGTCTACATTTAAAATCTGTCACCCATCTTGAGGGAGTGAGGCAGTGTGTTAACGGTTATTATTTCCTGAGCACTCACTCACATGCCTGGGGACTGTGCAAGCAGCTTTATAAGTATTTTGTCATTTAATCATCACACTAAGCTCATGAAATTATTTCCATTTAGAGATGAAGAGACTGTGGTACAGAGATCCAGTTACTTATTTTAGGTCATGTAGCTAACAGGTAGCAACACCAGGACCTGAATCTAGGAAGTGTGACCGCAGAGGTTTATATGCATGTTTCCACGATGGGACAATGCCCTGGTCTGTGCGCACATGAAGACAACTGCCTTGGCTCTACTTTAGGTGTGGTGTCTTCTGGTTTATTTTAACTTTTTTTTTATATATATCCTCACCCGAGGACATTTTTTTCCATTTTTTGTTCAGATAGAGTGAGAGGGAGAGAGAGAAAGAGAAACATCAATGTGAAAGGGACACATCGAGTGGTTGCCACCCACATGACCCAACCAGGGCTGGGGACAAACTGCAACTGAGGTACGTGCCCTTAGCGGGAACAGAACCCGGGTCTCTCCGGACCGCAGGCCGACGCTCTAACCGCTGAGTCTAGCCGGCCAGGGCTGGTTTATTTTAACTTTTTAAAAACTTAATGTAAATAGGCCTTCATGCTTCGATAAGAAATATTTTTGCTTCTCTTAGAATTCTTACGATTAGGCAAGTACCTCATAAAGAGTATAAACTGGTGGTTGAATGCAAATATACACTTAAAGGTTTGTTTTTGACCAAGCAGTCTGAGTCCTGTTACAAAATTCTTTCTGCCCTGGCTGGTTTAGCTCAGTGGTTGGAGCATTGCCCTGTGGACCAGAGAGTCCTGGGTTCAGTTCCCGCTAGGGGCACATACCAAAAAAACAAAAACAAAAATTCTTTCTTATGTCATTAATGTAGTTTTTGCTTTTTAAGCCACTGTCTTCTTTAGCTAGTTTTCTAGCTCCTGTGATTGTTTATGGGAATAATTGCAAAGAAATAGGGAACGTGGGACCTTTTTTTCTCTTCAGTTAGTGCAATCAGTGTAGGAAAGACACTTACCGGGAAGTTGAGCAAGAATAGTAATCTAGGTCAAGAGTGTAGTTTTGTAATATCTTCTTCTGTAACTCTTCAGCATAGAATTTTTAGGTTTGGAAGAGATCTTAAAAAGCCTGGGCCACTAGTTAATCTGGACATCCTTGAGTCCCCTTTTTACCCCCCTCCCATCTTCTTCCCCTGGCCTACCATCCTACCACTAGTAACAAGGAACTCACAGCTTCAGGAAGCAGACCTTCTGTTTTAGAACCACCGTTGGTAACTTGTCCTGATGTTGAGTGGGAATTATTCTCCTGGTAGCTTTTTTATTGACCCTATAGTGACTGAAAGAACAATTTCAATAGGTCTGAGACAAGTCTTAGTCTGTTGAGCATGATGGCAGAAGCGAGTCCTCAATATGCTTTATATCATTATTATGGATTTATTAATTACTGTTCTTTATATCATTTTATTTTTTTAAAGTGCTTTCTGTATAGTGCATTGTGTTTTGTCTTATCCTGTCATCTGAGAGTGAGAATGGGTTAGTTTGCACACACACACACACACACACACACCCCTAAATCCCTAATCCTTACAAGGTAGATCTTTTTTTTTTAAATTTTTTTATTAATTTGCTTTTGTTACAGATGTTTCTCCTTTCTCCCCCATTGACACCCTCCTCCCCATCTCCCCTGCCCCATCCTAGCTTTGTTGTCTATGTCCATTGGTCATGCATACATGCATATAAGTTCTGTGGTTTATCTCTTCCCCCCTAACCCCCCTCCTCTGAGGCTTATCAGTCTGTATCCCACCTGTATGTCTCTGGGTCAGTTTTGTTCATCAATTTATTTATTATATTCCACAAATAAGTGAGATTATGATACTTGTCTTTCTCTGCTTGGTATGTTTCACTTAGCATAATACTCTCCAGGTCCTTCCATGCCATCTCAAAAGATAAGAGATCTTTCTTTCTTACAGCTATATAGTACTCCATTGTATATACATACCAAACTTTTTTATCCATTCATCTACTGATGGACGCTTGGGCTGTGTCCAGATCTTAGCTATTGTAAATAGTGCTGCTATCAACATGGGGGGTACATATATTTTTTCTGATTGGTGTTTCAGGTTTCTTAGGATATATTCCTAGAAGTGGGATCACTGGGTCAAATGGCAGTTCAATTTTTAACTTTTTGAGGTAACACCATACTGTTTTCCACAGTGGCTACACCAGTCTGCATTCCCACCAGCAGTGTACTAGAGTCCCCTTTTCTCCACACCCTCGCCAACACTTGTTGTTTGATGATTTGTTGATGGCAGCCATTCTGACAGGTGTGAGGTGATACCTCATAGTCGTTTTAATTTGCATCTCTCTGATGATTAGTGACTTGAGAATTTCTTCACATGTCTGTTGGCCATTTGTATGTCCACAAGGTAGATCTTATTATTCCCATTTTACAGTGGAGGAAACTGAGATTAAATAACTTCAGAAATCACCCAACTAGCCCTGGCCAGTTTGGCTCAGCAGTTAGAGCGTCAGCCTGCGGTCCAGAGAGACCTGGGTTCGGATCCTGCTAAGGGCATGTACCTCGGTTGCAGTTTGTCCCCGGCCCAGTTGGGGTTGTGTGGGTGGCAGCCACTCGATGTGTCCCTTTTACATTGATGTTTCTCTCTCTTTCTCCCTCCCACTCTATCTGAACAAAAAATGGAAAAAATATCCTCAGGTGAGGATAAAAAACAAAACAAAACAAAAAAATCACCCAACTATAAAGTGGCTACACTGGCATTTAGAACCCTTAGAGTTCCCAAGGGATAAATGCCTGGACCTTATAAATTCTTGCACTTTTCACTGTATGTAACACCCTAAAAGTTGGATCAAGTGGCTGTTTGAGGTCACAGAACAGGTTTTGAACCTGGAATCAGTCTCACAGTCTCTCGCTTTTGTTTCTACTTATTTGTGTAGTATGCTGGATGTTATTGGCTTGAAAGTATAAATTTAGCTCATTTTTCCCACATGCTGGCAGACAGTGGTGGCTGTTTAATTTTTTAATTTAAAAAGAACTTATTAGTATCTTTAGGACTATATTTATGGCAAAACTGAACTATGCCTCTAGTTTGAAATGACACCACTCTAGGATTTCCAGTTTGTTTGCTTTTAAGACACAATATAAAACCCAATTCTTTCCTTAGCCTGACCAGTTCTGATGGAGCCCAGTGCTCAAAGGAGAGAATAAGGTCATTTCCCCAAAAGATTAGGAAGAGTACAAAGATACCTAGCACCATCTTCAAACGGACAGGATTTTTACTAGATGTTAATTAGTCAAATTTAATTGATAGATGGAAAAGGTTGGAAATAATGGTCACAGACAAAGGCCTTTATTTTTTAATACATTCTAAACTCCATATTCCCTGGAGATGGTTTAAGTACACATCAAAGCCCCAACCTTCAATCCCTAAAGGAACAGAAATAAATCGCAGTTCACCAAATTCTCTTTCCTTTCAGCCTTACCTGTCCACACTTAAGAACTTTCTGAATTCTCAGACTTCACACTGATGACAGTCTCCAGCTCATCCAAAGCTTTCCATTTTGGTCAGTTTAAATCCCTACGGGGCAACTGCCATCAGAAGGCTAGGTACTGTGAACTCACGCAGGGCTTGGGGGAGGGAGGGCTGGCTTATGGAGACTTCCTTCTCTAGGAGCTGGTCATTCAGCTTCAAACAAATCTGCATCACACTGGGGGCTTTTCTGTGTCAGTGATGCCCATTTGTCCCTGGAGCCTCGGTTTCAGGTCCTGGTGAGCCATTCTCATTCATCTCCCTTTTGTTCGAAGCCTGCATTCTGGTTCAACTGCCGGCAGTTGTCGTCTCTTCTGTACCATTTAGCTTGGCTGTGAATGGTGAGGCTTCCCTCGCCTTGCAGGTCAGGCATTCAGGCCCATTCTAAAGCACGGGGGCTCAAACATCGGTTCTGTGACCTATCTCTTACTGCTGAAATAATTGGAGTTGGCGTTTCTGAGTTCAAATGTTCTCCTTGAATTTTCTTTGGTTCAAGAAAGAGATCTGAAAAAGAGCAAAAGTAAAGAAATAAAGGCTCTTTCTCAGTGGTTCCAACTTTCTCATCTCTTAAACCTCTTTGAGGAACTTTCTGTCCTAAGAAAAATGCACACAATTTCACAGACCTTCAGATACCCCTGAATGTACCATCTTCAAATCAGGAACCCTGCCTGCTCTAGTGTCCTTCTGGAGGTATATGGAGTCTGAACTAGTTTGAAGGAATAAGTAGCCAGTGTGGCTTTTGAGAAGCAATAAGCTGATTTCCTCTCAATTTTTCATTATTTCCATAAGCACTTTAAGTCTCATATATTTAAAATTCTGGAAGCTCTGTGCATTATGGCATGGGGAAGACATAATTAATTTTCAGTTTGCTATCATATTTACTTAGAACAGCAACACCCTACACTGTTATTTTTCATAACCTTTTGTAGGGGAATTGAAGCTCTGAAATTACCCATCTGTTGCATGCGGCTGTAAAGTGACCTCTAGTGGACTTTCCTGGCAGTTTCCAGGAAATTCTGGAATAAGAAGCATTGCTTGATGGTGGAGGAATAAAATTAGATTAGTGATGCAGCCACCTAGTGTCCTGAAGTTTTGTTGAAGCATGGTCAGCTTCAGTGCCAAGGCTGGGACAGGTGAGGGAGGTAAATTTGGATGAGGCTCCTGGAACTAACTTTACTGTAGAGAAGGACCAAGGTTATGATGAGTGGATCAGGACCAACCCACTGGATTGATTTTAAGGGGAAAAAAATCTCTTTTAAATAATTAACAGTGAGAATACTTTGAAGTGTAGGCAAAGTGAGGGAGTAAGTATTCCACATTTTAAGTATTTTAAATTCTAGTTTGAGTGTTGGGATTTTTTTTTTGGTGGGAGGAAGAGAAGGGAGTAAACATTTTTAAAGTTCCAACTCAGGGCTAAATAGTCCTTTAATCTCTCAGTCTCTGTCTGTCTGACCCTTACCATGTACCTTTTATCTAGGCCTACTCAAGAAGCAAAATAAGGCAAGCTCTAAGCTCTAATCACAGTGATTGTCCAGGGTCCTCCCTGGCTCTTTTTCTGGCTTTAGGTCATGTTTCCTGCCCACTGGACCTACACTGACCTTGGTTACCTAGCTTGCTCCTTGGAATTATTTAAGAACTTTTACTTGGTCTGCTGGGGTGGCTCAGTGGATTGAGTGTCATCCCATGGACTGAGAGGTCCCACTTTGATTCCTGGTTAGGGCACATGCCTGGGTTTCGGCTCGATTCCCAATGCGGGGCATGCAGGAGGCAGCGGATCAATGTTGCTCTCTTACATCGATGTTTCTATCTCTCTCTCTCCCTTAAAAAATCAATAAAAACGTGTTAAAAAAAAAAAAAGAACTTTTACTTGGACTTACCTCTCAGCATGTGTCCACTCCTGGACCCTGGCAGTAGCTGGCCCACTCTCATGGTGGGAAATAGCTGGTTTGAACATTTGGTTTGGGCCTTTTGTTTAATAATATTCTCTACTGTCCTTGCCCCCTCTGACCTGGTATTAGTCTTGTAACTGAGCCTATTTCTCAGTCAGCACCTCTTGGTTTGGGTTGCGTGTTTAACACCTAGATCTCATCTAACTCTAAGGCTCAGGCTTCCTTAGTCAGGCCTGATCTTTCTGGAACCCTGCAATGATGGCATTTATATTTCGCCTTTAGGATGTGAAGATTGTAGATTAATAATGAAAACGTTTTCCCAAAGGAATAGAAAAACTCAATATCAATATTATTCTCTGGATTAGCATTTAAAGATACTCTAAAACCAAGTTCTATCATAGGTTTAAATTTGAATGCCTTTTCCTAATGTTTAATGCAAGAACATAGAGATTTATTCTTAATACATGCAGAACATTTGAAAAGTCTAAATAATGGGTTAAAAATAATAGGAAACAGAAGTTATATGTACATTTTCTGTCATGATAAATTATTACAAACATTTGTCTGCTTGTGTCAAAATTATTATCTCACTTGTCTTTCCAGCTGCAGTGAAAGCCCTCCAGAGAACCATGTTTACAGCTGTAGCCATTCGTGATCTTAACAATATGAATCAAGGATCCTATTTAGTGAATAACAGCTCAGAACACAAATGGCTATGAAGCTACACCCAAGAGGAGTTTGGAGGTTAGTGGATGTGAATAGTTTAATAAAAAATGACACTTCACAAAATACTTCAAGTCCAGCTGGTGGTAGAACAAATCCATCTGGGAATTAGGCTCATTGGGAGTTTAAAAACTCGGTTAGCCCTGGCCAGTTTGGCTCAGCAGTTGAGCGTTGGCCTGCGGACCAGAGAGTCCCGGGTTCAGTTCCCGTTAGGGGCATGTACCACAAAATAAATAAATAAATAGTTAGAAAAATAAAAACTGGGTTAGTTTAGGTTTGCTATGATTGAATGAATCTAAAGTGTAGGGTTCCATGTTCTAGCATAAAACAAATTAATTTTTGAAGTAGTAAATAACTCTACTTATAGAGTGAACTGAGACTATTCTTTTGAGTGCCAAGGTGATTTCTAATTTCCATAAAGAATGGAGACAGGGTCTTAAGAGTGGAGAAGCAAGAACTATCTTCTTATATTGAATATTTGAAATACATTTTGGCTTTTCCCATGGAAGCACTTTCTTCAGTGTGTTTTGCCATAAGGGGGTGCTCTGGGATAATAATTTTCTGCAAAGCAGCAGTCTTTTCTACTGTGCTACCTGAAAAGGTGCAACATTTAGATTTGTTCTACTTCCCAAACAGAGGTGTCAAATAAAAAAAGATTTATTTAAACTGTAAACTATTTAAACTGTAAACAACCAGTGTCTGACTCTGAAGGAAAAGATAAACATTGGAAAACATTCTGTGTAGACCCTTATTTTTTTTTGAGACGTTAGAATCACAGTAAACTGAAGCTTGCTGAGTAAGGAACTGAAAACTGCATCTTAGGGGTTAGTATTTGCTCTTTCACTTCAGCTCTTTCTTTCTTTCTCTCTCTCTCTCTCTCTCTCTCTCTCTCTCTCTCTCTCTCTCTCTCCTTCCTTCCTTCCTTCCTTCCTTCCTTCCTTCCTTCCTTCCTTCCTTCCTTCCTTCCTTCCTTCCTTCCTTCCTTCCTTTTTGTAGCATTACTTGCACTATGTCTTTGGCCAGTGCTGTAGGATGCATTAGAGTTGAAATTGCTGCTACAAAGTCCTATCCTTGATGGTAGGGGTTTAGGAACCAAGACTTCCACGGTAGACCCCTATCACATTTATTGATTAGTTCTTAGATTCTATTCTTGCCTCCCTAAGTATACAGGATAAGGCAGTGGGGAGGAAACTCAGTTCTGTTTTCAAAGACTGGAAGGGAGAATCAGAGGCAATAGTAGTTATTCCAGCACAGAGTGCTGTGAAAGGACAGCTAACTAGTCAAGGTCACCAATGGGGCAGTTAGAGAGATGGCCACAGCACCAGGTGGCCAGACAGAGGGTTCTCATTGTTTGGTCAAAAGAACTCACTGGGTTCTACTGCAGGATATCTGAAGGTGTTGTCTCCTTTCTGCCTAGGTGGCAAATAGTCCTGGTATATATAGCAGAAGGGTAGAGACAAATGTAAGACCTTTGTTTATGAAAGAGTAGTCTTCTCTCTCTGTATATTCCTAAACTCATCTCCTTTGGCAAAACTAGGTGAGGCTTTATTAGTCATCTTTATGACCATTAAACTATGTATACAAGAGGGAAATTTGGCTAAAGATTTATATAGCATAACTTGGGAGATTTTATTTGAGAATAATGTCTAGTAATCAATCTTTAGTTTTCTCTTTATACATGGTATTAATTTTAAAAAAGATATATTTATACCAACATCTGTATTTTAAAAATACATTTTCCTTAAATATGTGTTAGGTTCCACTTCCCAGAATTGGTTACCTTTATGGATTTTTTTTTTCTTCTAGAGATGACACAGAGAAAAGAGGAAAGGAAAGAGTTCTGAGTAAAGGAAAATGTACATAAACTTTTATTCCCTTTGGTTTTGAGATTTAAAATAGTATTTTTCTTTGTTTTTCCACTTGTGGGGGAAAAAAGTCCCTAGACTTTTCTTATACTCTTGATTATAATAGAACATCCTAAGGAAAAGACTTTAAGAGTTTAATTGGAAACCATAAGAGGTTATCAAATAGCCAAGAACAAAAACAGAAAGAAAGAAAATGTTCTCTAATATTTGTTTTCGTTTTTCTCTCTGCCTTCTCATCTATAAGTTTTAATATTTAAAGTAAGGCATGAACTCCATGTGGCCGATAGTTATCTCATACATTTTGTGGGCTGATCAAGCATCATGCTGGGGATGTGTAATCACTAGACTGGCTTCCAACCTGCACACACATTTAAAATTTTTCATTAATTTTTTGCACAGAACAGATGCTCTGGGTGCAGTTTTAGGCTAGAAGAATGTCCAAAATATGTGGGTGTGAATTTGGCCAAAGGGCTACTTGAATGTGGAGCATAGACACTAGCCTGAAAACAGGTCACATTTTAATGAAAAATGCACATTCAGCATGGCATTGTGTTTTTCAAAGAGGTGATTCCCAGCCATGGAGAACACAAGGGAGAGGCAGGCATTCATGTGGAACTGCTTTAAAACAGAGTTCTTGTGTATCCTGGCTGGGGGCAGGGCTCGTGGGTACCCCTTGGGAAATGAGAGAATGGAATTTTGCTAGGCATAATTGAGTTTTCTGGATTATCAGTCATAATTCTTTAAAAAGAAATAGAACTCTATAAGGGAAAAAAGGAAGATTTCAAAATTATACTAGCTATGCTAGAAAAAAAATCTAAGAGGGCAAAGGTGTTGTCCCATTCACATGCTGAAAACTGTGAGTAGACAGAGACAAAATTTTCCTTGTCCCACTTAAAAAAATAAAAAAGGAATAGTAAAGAAAACAAGTGACTAAAACATCTGTACCTTTATATGTTGAAGAGTGAAATATAGAATTCTTTTAGATACACGTTTTATTAGAAGTGGTTCTGTTTCCTCTTAAGAAATAGGGGTGTGTGTGTGTGTGTTTTAAATCATTTGGTATCACCTATAAGTACATAAGCAACATAATTGGGGTTATTTATTAAGAATGAGAAAAATAGCAATGGCAGGGCACATACAAGAATCAACCAGTGAATGCATATATAAGTGGAACAACAAATTGATGCCTCTCTCTTTCTCCTTTCCTCTCTCTCTCTCAAATCAATTTTAAAAAGAATGAGAAAAATATAGAAATATTAAACACAATCATTTTTAAAATGGGAACACATGCTATTTGGTAGTGTTAACAAATAAACATTTAATTTTATGTTATTGTTATGGCTAGTTGTGGATAGCATATAAAAACAGCCATGGAGCCCTGGCCTGTATTGCTCAGCAGTTAGAGCGTCGGCCCGCAGACCAGAGAGACCCCGGTTTGGTTCCCGCTAAGGGCACGTACCTCAGTTGCAGTTTGTCCCTGGCCCCAGTTGGGGTTGTGTGGGTGGCAGCTAATTGATGTTTTTCTCTCTCTCTCCTTCCCTCTCTTCCTCCTGCCCTATCTGAAGATAAATGCAAAAAAAAAAAAAGTCCTGGGGTGAGGATAAAAAAAAAAACAGCCATGGAAAATTACTTCTAAAAAAGCAAATACATTTAATAGAGGTATTATGCCTGATGTATGAAGGGCATAGTTTATTCTATTTTCTGCTGGTCAATTTTATGATTTAGAGTGTCAGCCCCTTCCTTTAAAGGAGCTGGGATGATAAGGGGATATGAAATTAGGACATCAATGAAGAATGAAAGAATCTTAGTCTAGCCCAGCCAGTGTGGCTCAGTAGTTGAGCATCGACCCATGGACCAAGAGGTCACAGGTTCGATTCCCGGTCGGGGCATATGCCCGAGTTGCAGGCTCGATCCCCATTGTGGGTGTGCAGGGAGGCAGCCAATCGATGTGTCTCTCTCATTGATATCTCTCTCTAAAAATCAATAAAAAAATATTTTAAAAAGAATCTTAGTCTTGTTTAGTCAAGAAGGTAAGAGTAGGAGTCAAGAGGAGGAAGAAGGATCAGGTTGCGTCTGGATGGGTCCTCCAAGTTGATTTTTGTTTAGCGAATGGAGAAAATAGGGATCAGTCAAATTTTCAATATTGAGCTTTTCAAATTAGTTCATCCTTGGGCAGTAATGTTATAAAGAAAATTCAAGTATGAAGATTCCATGACAATTGGATAGAGTCTATGAGATAGAGATATAGCCTCAATTCTTGCCCCCACCAAAGTAAAAAATAGAAACACACCTAAAAACTCAATTTATTTATTTTTAAAATATGTTTTTATTGATTTTTTACAGAGAGAGGAAGGGAGAGAGAGATATAAAAAGATTGATGTGAAAGAGAAACATCAGTCAGCTTCCTCCTCACATATCTTACTGGGAATCAAGCCCACAACCTGGGCATGTGCCCTGACCTGGAATTGAACCAGGACCTCTCAGTCCATGGAACAATGCTCAGTCCACTGAGCCACACCAGCTGGGCAAAAACTCAATTTATTTACAATGATTGTAATAAATAAATAAGCAAGCAAAAAATTAAACATGCACATCCTTTAGTTATAAAACAAGTGTTGCAAAATATTTTACTCAAGGTATGTATATGGAAAAAAATAAAATTGACTTCTACCTTATACCTTAGATAAAAATCAATACCAGTTAGCTTAACAACTTAAATATATATTTTTATTTTTTTCCTTTATTGCTTTGCTTTTTTAGCGAGAGAAAGGGAGAGAGAGAGATAGAAACATTGATGAGAGAGAACATTGATTGGCTGCCTCCTGCATGTCCCCCACTGAGGACTGGGCCCACAACCTGGGCATGTGTCCTGACTGGTAATTGAACTGGTAACCTCTTCGTGCATGGGTCGATGCTCAACCACTGAGCCACACCAGCCGGACACAACTTAAATATTAAAGTCAAAACTATAAAGCTATGAGAAGATAGTATAGAATATCTTAAAGGTAAGAAATGATTTATTAAACAAGTCACGAAAGGCACTAAACATAAAAGGAAAATTGATTATTGAAGATGTGAGATATTTTATGAATAAAAATGGCCTTTGATTGGTAGTATACTTGCAGTGCTGCAAATTGTGCTCTGAATG